ATGTACAATCAGAGGTTTAAAATAGGACCAGAAGTGTGGAGTATTTCATGTGTTGCTGAGTCTGGCACCACCTGTCAGAGGCTGTGTTTGAAAGATAACTTGCTATGTGTGGTAACTCTATTGTGAGTAGTAGGTTGGAGGATGTCACAGGTGAGCCAGAGTAAACTATCCATAGTGAATCTGGATACTGGTTTATTTAAAACCCTGCAAGACTGGAGTATTCAACCTACAAGATTATTTCACACAGTTACGTGTACAGCTGGACTGACACAACAGCAATTAAAAAAACCATTAAGCTGTGAGAAGGGTATAGGGGTTGCTTTTGGCTGTATTTTCTCTCCACCTTGCACAGAAGTGATACATGATTTAAAGAATTGCACGCTTGTCTTCTCCTGCCATTATAATGAGGCAAACATAGCAGAAAAATATGTGTTGCCTTTAACTGAGCAGCAGTTTGAGGTGTAACAGCTGGTCCTTATCCAGGCATTGTACCTTGTTGTAGGTACAACCTGAAGAAGTTCAGGGAAGCTGAAGGTGGAAGGCATGCAGGCACTGACATACCTGTTGCATTTTCTAGTCAGTTAGATGGGAAGTCAGGGTCATGTGAGGAAATATGCCCTTGCCTTAACAAGTCTGTAAGTAAATAAAAGGACCAGTCTCTGGAGCTGTCAGTTCTTCCCCAGGCTGTGCATTTCCTTTAAATTAGAGGACTGATTTTTCTTAATGCAAAAGTCTCTTCATAAGCACTCTTGAGTCTCTGTGGGAATGTGGTCATGGTTATATGAATGGCACATGACAATGGTTGACAAATGTAGGTGATGTTTCTTATGTAAGTCAGCAGAATCGGTCTGCAGCTGCCGCAGGTTAAGCACAAGTTTGTATGAAGTACATAGCTAATAACACTAACTCAGTAAGCACCAGAGAAGTGCTCAGGTTAATTTAGATCTCCAGATAAAGAGAGCACCCAAGGAAAAATTTTCCTGTTACCTTGTCTCTTAAGTCCACAGGAGTCAGGGTAGAAGTCTTGGCTCTGTGACAATATTGCCCTTGGCTTCACCAGAGCCTGGGATTTTCCCTTTTATTTTCATATTATAGACCTGCCAGTTCCATTAGTTGTTCTGTCAGTGGATGCATGCTGATGGTGTAAGATAGTAATCTACAGAAAATATCTTTAGTTTAAAAGAAAGGAAGAAAAATCAAGCTTCTCTGTTTTGGGCGGTTTGGTTTTTTTTTGTTTGTTTTTATCTTTGTTTTTTCCTGCAAGACAAATTCCTGTCTTGCAGAACCTTTTCCCCTCTCCTCATGTTTCTGTTCTATAGTTACTACTAATTTGTTTTTTAAGGCACTTTCAGTGTAGAATTAGGATTTTTACCAAGATTTTCTCAAATCTAACCCCAGATATGATTGTTTCTCCTCTGAAGCACTTCAGTTGGAAGGCAGTGGCACTGGCATCAAGTTCTTGGCCACAACTGAGGGTCCTTGTCAGAAAAATGGCCCTTTTTATGGAATTCCCAAAAATGTTTGTTCCTTGCCCTGAAAGAAGCTCATAGATAAGTCTAGAATCAATAAACTAATAATTAGGGAGACAAAGAAGGAAGAAGAAGAATGGTGGAAAGCACTAAGAGGAAGTTACTTCAAGGAGGTCGAGAGCAGGCACGTGTCTCTGGCATTGTCTGGCAGCTGCCTGCATCCTAGGTTGTGTGAGACAGTAATAGCTCTGTTGCCTCTAGCTGTCCACAGTACAGCTAGCTTTTATCACCACCCATCAGCCTAGACCCCCCGCTGCTCACGTTCCTGGTTTGCCTGCAACACCGTGTGACTTCTCCTTTGCTGTGGGACATGGGTAGGAACTCCTGTCCATTTGCCTCCCTTAGAGGCATCTCTTGTCATGATGCTTGTACACAATAACCACCTCATGGCAGTTACCTTGGGGGTGCTTGGGATGGGGCTACCAGCAACCCTAAAGATATAGTCTTTCCTTCAGCATTACTTTATTTCTCCCTCAGATGTTTGCTTGTCCTGATATTGTGTATTGTGAAAATACGTAATGACAGAGGAAGGCTCATACTGTCAATTCTTGTCTGCAAAGCAAAGTAGCACTTGCTGTCTGATGAAAGACCTGAAGGTGTTTATAAAAAACATTTTTGCAAGTAATTACATTTAATCCAAATAGTTTAAATGTCACAGCCTCTCTATTTATTTTTTTTTAAATAGTTGTAATTAGTCACTGCTGAGGAATTTACCTGGATGTTAACAGGCTGCTTCAGTGTTCCATGTGTTTTTTTTATAGTGTGCCCTTCCCGTGTCATCTATCACTCTGGTATTTGTCAAGTGCTTTTAGGTTGTGGCTATTAGCAGGTTACACCTTCGGTTGGGGATTTGCAAATAGATGTGTGGGGTTTTGTTGGTTTTTTTTTGTTTTGTTTTGGTGTGTTTTTTTTTTTTTTTCAGTTAAGCAACTATACCAGCACCTAACCCTCATCTCAAATCAAATCTGACCTTCTTCAGGGTTTGGTTTTGTTGTGAGGGTTGGGCTTCTTGTTTGGTTGGTTTTAGGTTGTTTGGTTGGGTTTTTTTACACTAACTTGCTAATTGGTGAAGTCAAAATAATTTTTTTTCTCCTTTTTTTTTTTTTCCCCTCTTTCTGAATGGGGCAGAACATAATGACTACCTTGACCTGATCTTTCAGATGCTCAACTTGCAGGTTGGACACCTAAATCGTGAGGCTATACCTAATGATTAGGTTCTGCATAATAATTCGCTATTTACATAGAGTGAAATTGTAACAGAAAGAGAGACAAAGAACTTGATGTTTGTCTGTGCCACCCCTGCCAGTACCTCCAAGCCCAGTACTTAGGGTAACATAAATGCTTGATGTGGATGTTTGTTTGCTGAAAAGTCCTTTCACAGCAATTCCAAACCAGATTCTGTGGGGATTAGCAATTGCATGGACAGTCCCTTTATACCAATGTTATTCTAACTCGGAATTGAAATACGGTTAGAAGTATGATAATTCCCAGAAGACGGACATTTTTATTCCTATATATCTCTGAGCTGCATTTTATGTGTTTCTGAGAGAGCAGCTTCCACCTCTGGCCCATCTGATACCAACCTCCATTAGTGCTTGGTAGACTTTCACCTTAACACTTTCATGCTTTTTCTCCCAGTTTTGTCCTCACATAATCCTTCCCAAATCCACCTCATGACAATCTCTCAGATTCTTTCTTAAAACTGTCTTGCTGCAATCTCTATGGAAATTTGGCAATGGTTAGGCAGCTGCTGCTCTGCCTGTGGTTTTTCATGCTGACTAATACTGCCGTGTTGCTTGTATGTCTGTCCCCTCTGTCTCTAGCCATATTCTGTCTCCTCTTCTGCATGAGCAGTAGCCTCATTGAATTTGGGATGCCACTGCTGCTCTACACATGGTACCTGCAGCATGGTGGAGTACTGGTTCACAGCTAGGACCTGAGCATGTGCAGAGAAGTAAGAATATATAATGCAGTTGTAATGGTCTTCTTGGACGAAAATGCTGCTGCTGCTGTTTCCTACCTGAAGGGTTTCGTAGCTCATTGTCAGAGCTTAGACAATGCTTTATAATTTCGAACCCTTGTAATCCTACTGGTGTAACGACTTCTGTCTCCTAAGCAATTAGTAGTCTGGTACATCACTGGCTGTTCAAAGATGCAGACAGCAATGAGGCCAGTCTGTCCAGAGTATCAGGATGGATAATGTAGTCATTTAACTCCATGAGCTGCACTCTGTCTGCAGAAGTATTTCTTTTGCAGTGCCTACAGGTTCTTGGGTAATCTAAGATCATCCAACTGATTTTCTTATACATGTAATTTGAATCCATATTTGAGCACAGAGATGTCAGGCTAAAGAAGGGGCCCTTTAAATGTTTTCCACCACTGCAATGGAAATTATAATTAGCATGAAGAGTGGGAAAAACACTGTTCCCTACCCCACTGAAACCGAAAATAGTGTCCTTTGTGTGGGAAAGAAGGGAATGGCAAGTCAGTGTTTGTGGGAGCATTTGGAATATTTTGCTGAAATAATAGTTTCCTTTTAAAATATGGAAAAATGTAAAAGCAAATTTGGTCTAAAGGGAGTTATGCACAACTGGTAACTTAGGATTTAGATATTTCAAATATGTCATGATACTAACTTTCAGTAAGTTTTATGGGTAATGCTTCATTTATGATTGTTTGAACCTTTCATTGCTGCCTGCAGGTTGTGACTGGCTGTATTCACCAGCATAGCTGCTGGGCTCCTTTCTAGGTTAGTCAGGCATCCAAAGAGACTGCTTCTTACTGTGTTTTAAAAGCTGCTGTTTATAGCTGATGTTAGCCATATATGCTCTGCTTCCTCAGTGCTAGTAGTTTCAATCTATATTTCTTTTAAACAGGACTATGTCAAATTTACAGTGACTATGGGATTTACCACAGGAGAAAGAGAACAGGGGAGAAGTATGTGAAGGGGGTCATTTATAGGCCTTTTAAACTCCACCATTCAAACAGTAACACAATCCTAAACCAACCCTGATTTGACTTTCAGATAAATAGAGCACTATCCAGTTTGCATTCCCCCAAGAATCATATACTTTAGTCTGCAAGCTGGTGTGTTTTGAGATTATTTTTTTTTATTGTTTCTAAGGATTATTTGTGTTAGTAAAAGGCTAACAAGACACTTGGAAAATAGCTGGTATCAGCTCTCTTTCTAGAGGTACTGACAGTGTTGCTACCTCGTAAGATATTCATCCGCTGCTGTCCCTTGTTTCTTTTGTCACCACTGATGGCAAAGTTCCATGTTTGGTTAGCTCCATTGCACACGGGCATCGCAGCCTATCTAAGGCTACTGGTCTTCAGTTAATCGTCTGTGTTAGCAACCTCACAGAGTTAGCTTGATCAACATTTTCTATTCTGTTGCTGTCCTTCCATCTAGATTTTCATTACATCTTTGTTCATATCCAGCTTTTCCCCATGGTGTTCACTTATGCCATCCAACTCTGAAATGGAAGGAGACATTCGTAGTTTTATTCCTGTTTGTATCTGTAACTTCTAAGTAGAACTTGAACAAACTTTTTTTCCCCATTTTTGTTTTGTTTTCACTGATTCCTCCACCTTTGCTTCTTATTTTTATTGTGATTCTAAAATGTAGAAATTATGACACACAGCAGCTGTAAAACTAGAGAGACTGTTGGCCATGTGGGCTTGCTTTAGATTTACACTAGGTTGATTGCTGGTTTGGTCCTGGAGTATATTAACTAGATTCACACCATTAGGATGATGCAAATGGCAGTGGGTGGGTAGACCAAACCAGTGAGTTTGTTTGAATGTCTAGCAGCAGAAATACCCAGTGGGATTGTGATTAACTGAGGGAGAATGCTGCTTTATATTTTCCAATAGTTTTGGGGAATCAGGAATGGAGAATTCATCATGTGCTCCATCACTGAAGGCAGCTTACACCTGCAAAGTGTGTTCTATTCAGCCAGATTGTGCAGCAGTGGCATTTCCTACAAATATCGACTAACCTCTTTTTCATGTTGTGTTGTTGTAACTAAGAGCGGAATCTGTATTAGTGTGAACAGCATCTCCTGTTATAAGCCAAGAGTAAAAAAGAAGTGGAAGCTAAAGTGGGTAGAAAGGAAAATTATGATTATATTAGAGGTTGAACTAATAATTTATAAAAATCTCATATCTGACAAGTACCTGTCTGCACTTTTGCTCCTTGCTGGGTTTTGTGCTGCATATTATGGTCTAATTCCTGTTCAGCCAACATCTGTCAGGCGGAATAATTTCAAGCATTAATCCTTACAGGAATTAACTAGCTTGTTAGTGATGACCTGAGCTAGATAGTTTCTGGGGATTATTGCTATTTAAATCTTACCTACCTTTCAAACAGTAATAATATACTGGGCTGGTGTTTTATCTTCTTTTTCTGGGGTGATATGTCTTTAGACTGCCACCCCCTCTATCACTTCTACCACGCGGTAGGAGGCAGAGAGGAAATCCTGTGCTGCCTCCGCCATGAGTAAAGAGGAAGCTGCTAGTTTCTCTTTGTACCAGTCTGGCTCGTGCTGCTAGCCATGCTGACCTGCTGTCGTAACTAATGCCCAGTGGAGGCCAAGCTGGATTGTGCTTGTCGTGCTGGAAACCCATTTGGGAACTTTGATGAAATCACCACAGACTTTCACCTACCTGTTTTTGCAGAATTCCCAGGATTTTGGTAAGGTCTTTGCAAGGTTTGTTACTTTTATTTCATAATGAGGTGAGGTTATTGTGACTGTGAAGCATGCCTCTATCTTTTGGTTCCATTCACTCGTCTCCAGAGAAAGCCCATGGCTCACCTCTCATTCTCCCCCCACTGGTTGAGAGGGTGAGAGGATCCCAGGCAAGGGCCTGCTGTGACAAAATAATAGCCAATAAACTTCTCTGAGCAGCATGCCAGGATGGGGACCTGCTTTTTATAAGGCAGAAAAAAGAATCAAAAATATCAACACCATGGTGCTCACCACAAGATTTGGAAGTTAGAAGTAGCAAGTGAAGTTACTAGAGAAAGTGTCTGTTGGGAGTGTTGCTGTCTGACACGATATCAGCTTATACAGACCCAAAGCGTTCACTGACTTGGGACTGCTAAGATCACTTCCCTGAATTTTTTTATGTTAAAATTTCATGTTAAAAAGAGATTGAAAAATAATACTGAATTTCTTTTAAAGTAGACAGTATAGTTTGCACAAGCATTGTCATTTATGTTTTGCTCATTGGGCGCAAATGTGGTCATTGGAGGCTCCCGTTTTGCTTTGGTTTAGCAGTGGTCCCCCCATCACAGGTTCAGATGCATTTTACTCCAGGAAGAGGATAACCTGCTTCTCCTATTTTCTGAATCAACCTTTAGTGAGGTACCTACTGAGCCCAAATTCAAAGTGGAAATGGGAGGGGGGGGGGGGGGGGGGGGGAAATGATTCCAGTGATGTGAAATGCCTTTAAAATATAAACAGTGTTTGTGGTATCTTTAAAAGACTGCTTTGGAGACTACTGAGGAAAGATTATTTTTTCTTTTTGATCAGAGTTTCTGCCATGACATATATTGCTCCTTGTAGAATAGTTATATATTACCTGGATTGTAAGAATCTGTCTTTATACCTTTTCCTTCTTCCAAGTGTTTGAGAATCATTAATGGAATGACACATCTGTCAGGAGATGCTTGTCAAGTATAACAGCAGATGTGTGTAAATTCTCAGCTGATATAAAACCCTATTGCTCTAAGTGTGTCTCTGGTTAGCTTTCTGGTAGCCAGCAGCCCCAGAGATATGTCCTATAATATTTAGGGTGGGATTTTCAAAGTTGCTGAAAAGAAGTAAACCCTGAGATCCCATTGGGGTCTAAATAGAACTGAGCTGCCTGATCTGTTCAGATGTTCTCAGGAGGAAAAAAAAAATAAATAAGAGAGAGCTTTGGTTTCTAAAAGTTAATTAAAAGTAGATGATGCAAGAATGAGAAGAATAAGCATCGGCTTTACTCTTGCTGCTCAGCACGGTAATTATCTGTGATCACAGCTTTAAATAACTCTCTGGTCCTCCTCAGTGGAGGTGGACTGCTGACAAATGTGGCTTACTGCTGGGTCCTGCTGCCACTTTACTCTTCATTCTAGTTTTGATTAATCTCAGTAGGAGATTAGGTTTATAAACTATAGGACTTCAGTCCTCAGGCAAAGAGACTACTAAAAGGCACTGCTGCTTTATTGTGGAGGTGTTTCTTTATCTCTGCTGTGAAATCATGGGCTATATCAGAGCACTGGAGTTGTGGCTGTGCTGGTCTCTGTGCAGAACCAAAGCGTGCTCATCCTCCAGTGGCTGCCAGAAGGGCTCTTTGCAGCTGAAAGCAGAGACTCGACCTTGCTCTTTAACCCACAGTGCTGGCAAGCACGCACAGTGGGAGGATGATGAAAGTGTGCAAACTGCAATAGTTCAGGCAAAAATGAGTCACGAGAAAGCAGCCTGTTTTATTCAATTCCAGAAATGTTCTCAGCCGTTCAAAATTAATTTATATACACCATTTTGTAGTGGTCGACTTTGTTTCTGAGTTTGGGGATGAGGTTGTAGTCAGTTTCAGTAGTGCATTTTGTTTAAGACACAGGCAGGCCCTGTTCACTCATGGGTTTGTCTCAACACAAACCAGTGTCATTGGCAATATGAAACCTGGCAATATCAGCTTAATGCAAATATTACTTTAAATCATGTTCAGTGTGCGAGCTCTTTAGGTGTAGCTGTACTTACCCTGGTGTATGTTTTTGGCAACATTTCAAGTGCTTAGCTCTTTCAGTGGTCATTTTTCTCTTTCTTGATAAAATATATCTTCCTGTTCCATACAAATTGAAATGTTTTTTTTCCATAAACATGTGCTTTGGTCCCGTGAAAGTAACTCTTATTTTAATCAACAACTTCAGTATTTAAGTTTATGGTTGTTCTACATGGTAACTACTTTTTTTAAATTCAAGTGAGTCTCACATTTACCGTATAAATATCTCCTCATCCTAGTGAATGTTCTTCTAAAGGGGACAAAAAATATTGTGCTCTTAGAGTATACTTGTGAAGTACTTTCAAATGACTTTATTTCTAAGAAATATTTGTAGTAAATACTTGACTTAAAAGTTTACTATTTTAAAAGCTTTATGTTTAGTACACAGTTTAAAAGCTTTATGTTGCACACAGTTGCTCAGTCAGAATCAGAGGCATTTGACTGATCATCAAACAAAATTTTAGCACTGGTTTCATAAGGGGGCAAAAATTTTATATGTTCAAAAACACCGAGATCCAAATGTGGAAACATTGATGTGGAAGAGGAGAGGATGCATGATGTGGAGGTAGATTGACATCCTGCAGCCCTGAGCACCCACATGATGATTGTAGGCCTCTTCAGGACATGGGATTCCTGCAGAAGGCTAGTTGTCCTACCTCTGGCATGAATCCTTGCTTGGAAGTGCCCCTCTCTCACTCTGACTCCCCTGGGAATTACTGGGCCCACAGCTCAGTGTCCCACTGACTGCCTGAGGTTCAGTGCTGTCGGTAGGACAGCACTCCCTTGTGGTGTGAGACATGCTTTTGAGTCCCAGCATGTTTGCAGACCCCATGCTAAGGCCGCATGCTTTAGCAGGGCTAGGGGATCTTGTTCTGAGAATCTCTGGCTTCAAGGGGTAGGCAGAGGACAGGGGTGGTGGAACTACCACAGCTTGCACAGAGCAGTGAACATGCAGCCGCAGTCTAACGGCCCTTCCATTTAGCACTCTGTGCCCTCAAGTACACATAGACACCTTGCTTTCATTGCTGAACCCCTTCTGACACATGTCTGTAACCTCTTTGGGACAGAGGTATTATCCTTTTAATGGTAGGGCACTTCTGCTCCCCAAAGGGTGCTGTGAAAGCATATTTTGTACCCTGCTTAATACTCTGGGATCCTGATTACGGAAATGGCCCTTGGGAGTTACTGTGTGTCAAACTGCGCACAAAAGAGAAGAGCTGGTGCCAGCCAGCCAGGAAGATGTACAATTCCTAAGAAGGGTTGGGATGGCAAATGAAAATTGAGCAGCGCAGCTGGGGTGTTAAGAATCACAAGGAAGAATTACTTGGGAATACTCTACAGAGTAAAACTAATTTGCAGAATATATTTGGCAAATAGCTAGGAATAACCTCACATTTGAGAAGATGAGATTGTCCATATATTGACAGATATTGTGTATGTGTCCATACGCAGTGTATACCCAGCAAAAGAGGAATAATTTATGATATTTCATGCTGAATCGTTCACTGATCTCTAGCCAAGAGGCAGATACCATAGAGGTTTATTAATGAGTGTATCAGTGCTGTGGCTGGCACCCAGTACTGAGGGATTGTACAGCCTGTGGAGGACGAGTGGGAGATAATTAAATACATACATTTTAGCCTCCAGAGACAGTGAGACTAATGCTGTTGGCTTGCAATGCTTTTTCATTGGCTGACTGATTGTAAAGCTGTTTGTTAGGAGCTGAGCAGTCCTCAAACCTGGCCTACTTGAGCAGCTGGGGACAAGTTCACAGGACATAGATTGCAGGTAAGTTCACAGGTACCTTTCAGGGGCAATTGCTGAAGCAGTTTCTCTGAATCAGAAGAATCTCTGCGGAAGTTGTAGGACAGAGGTGTTTAACTTGTGATTTTCCAGTAACTAGGGAAGTCAAACCTCTTGCCATTAAGTTCAAAGTCACTAAACAGTGATCTACATCTATGTAGAGATGCTTGAGGGGATACATATTAGAAAAGGTTGAAAATCACTCTCTGTAGTGTTTATTAACTGACTGATTCTGTTCTTGTCCTTTCAAGTATTTCATTATTGTCTAGAGGCAAGAAACAAAGTCCCTCTGAATGTGAAGCGTTATCTATAAAGAGGGTAGAGTGAGACAGCATTTTACTTATCTAACTGTGATTTACTAATCATGGTAGACCAACCTGGACCAACTCCCAGAGTGACCTTGAAATGCAAAAATGTATGTGTGGGGAGAGTATGGAGTATATGGAGCGGGGAGCCATTTGTAATTAAGACTTCTCACCTATACTTTTTACTTCCAAATGACTTGATGATTGAAAAAAAAAACAACAAACCTGCTGTGGTCAGGGCTACTGATTGTCAATCCTGATGCTAAAAGGGAAGACAGACCCAAGACCCAGCTCTGCGTCACTTGCACATGATGATTCCATTCAAGTATAGAGCTATTATAAATTTTCAATCCCTTTTTTTTAGGAAATTACTTTTGGGACCTGGGAATTCTATTTTTTCCACAGCAGTCTTAAAAAGCAAAAAGATACCCTGTTTGCTGTGGCTCTCACCAAAGTCTGAAATTATCTTTAAACAAATAGTTGAAAAAAACCCCAGGTTTTTTTTTTTTATATATATAGTCAGTCTGCACAGAACATGGTGTTTGTTTTGGTTTGGGGGGATTTTATTGATTTTTTTGTTTTTTTTTTTAATCAAGTAGATAGAAAATTGTCAGGTGTGATCATGTTGTGGTAGAATGTTTTGCATTAGCCATAGGCTTCCTATGGATTGTTTTGCAAGGGAAAGAAAATGGTTATGTGCATGAGTGCCATGTGTACTCATGATGTTGGTATTCCTTGGTTAAGGGGAATGCTTGTAACTAGGATATGCATGTGTTTATTCCAAAAACTATTTATTTTCCAGCTCATTAATTAGGACAAA